AGGAGTTCTTAGGTTCCCAGGCCTTTCACGGTGCCTTTAGACCTCACTGCATCCGGGCGGCTAATTTTGAGAAAAGGAAATGGATGGTCGTCCTTAAGTGTTACGACAATGGAAGCATTATCCGAAAGTACCGTGATGAGATGGATGAGTACCGACAAAAGGGTGAAGCCTTTGTCCTCGCAGTTGATCCTAGTAGTGATGATGACTCTGATAATGAGGCTAGTATCAGTGAGCAGTCTCAGGAGAGTGAGGATGGTCCTGGAGATGCTGAGGAAGGTGGTGATGGAGATGAGGTTGAAACGCAGAGTGATATTGTCAAAGGTTCGGCCTCAGATGAGGATGACTCGTAGTGCCCTCTTTTCCTGCATGTACTGATGTAGTAGTTTGTTGTTTGTGTGGCATGTGCCATGTACTCTGGATGTACTAGTTTGTTACTAGTTTGGTGTTTGTGTGGCATGTGTCATGTACTCTGGATGTACTAGTTTGTTGTTTATGTGGCATGTGTCATGTACTCTGGATGTACTAGTTTGTTGTTTGTGTGGCATTGTGCATCAACAAAAATGAACTTTAATTAAAAACTAAGAAATTCGTCCAAAATTAAATAAGAAATTCGTCCAAAATTAAATAAGAAATTCGTCCAAAATTAAAAAGATAAAAGAAAAGAGTTTTTGAAAATCAATTTATAAAAGCACTACGGTTTCGCTCACTCTAACAATCATATGTATTTTTACCAATAACTTATGATTTACACATGCAACTTTGAAGGTTAGGTTTTCCTAAAATAAGTCCTACTCAGAAACTCTCAAATATAGAACGTATATCTAATATGCAGTATGTCCGGACGTTCGAATCGAACATGAAAATGAAAGACTTATTTAGATTTGTAAAAACCCTTGGAAGAACCATGCAACGCTTAAGATGTGGTGTTCATCCTAAGTGAAATTATAATTATTAACCACAAGAAGCCATTGCCAATTTTAGGGAACCTTCCGATCAAAATTGCATCAAATTACTTTTCTAAAGATCGTAATGGTGAACAGGCATTAAGATAATTAGATAGTTTAATCACATTAATTAATAATTCAAGGCATGCATGCATAAAATACAAGCAATTAAATATAAAAAAAATACATATTCATGCTAAGGCTCAAGGCTTCACACTAGCAAAACAGATTAGTTACGCATATTCATAGATAAACTCAAAGTAAATATTATTATGAAGAAGAAGATTGAAAACACCTTAAAGTAAAAGTCTAAAATTCTTCAAGAACCCTAGCCAAGTTTCAATCTCCCCAAATTGCATAGTCGAAGAGAGAAAGCAAGAGCGGAGTCAAGTACAAGGCTACCCTAGGCTATAGCCTAGGTAGTTTTTGTGGGTACAAACCAATTATTCCTTATATTTCATTTATTTTTATATTCATTTCACTATTAGCCCATGTATCTTTTTTATTTGTTTACTTCATTAACCAATACTATTTATTTCTTAAATAACAAAATCTATTTTACACTTCATATACTATCCATTTATGGTTAATCGTGACAATAATTACTTACTTTAATAGTGCTTTTAATTCTTTTCAAAAGCAACTTGTGCATATTTCAAATTTTGAATTATTTTGTGCATGATTTTTATCTTTTTAAAAAAGTTTTACAGTGTGTTAACCTTTTTCTATTTATTTATATATACATTTGTCATATTAAAGGTTGATGAACATAGAATAATTGGACGAGCTTTGCTTATAAGATTAACATATGGTCATTTTTTTAAAACCAACTTTTTTATAGTTCTTAGCTAGCCCACCAGACGAAAATTTTCTAGCTCCGCCCTTGAGAGAAAGCTAGGGCCTGCCAAAGACCTTATTTATACTACATAAGTTATCCAGTCATTCCTAATAAAAGTCATAAAATCCAACTAGGAAACCAAATAAAAATAAAATATACTAGAAAATAAAATCCCAATTTAACTAGGAGAATCTGCAATGAATCTTTCCAGCCACGTTTTAGATCTAAATCTCCTCCAAATCCGGCCCATGATAACTTATTTTAAATATTAGAATAATCTGAATACATATCCAGAATGGGCCGAATCCAAAATAGACCATCTTGGGCTCCAAAATTCCGGAATCAAGCCCAAAATGTCACTTTTCTAGCACTATGCACTGCTTCTTTATTCTATCGCCAGAAAACAACCGCTTGGTTGAAAAATCTTATATTTTGACATGATAAAGCTAAGCAACTCATGAACATCCACCAATTAGAATAACTCCAAAATTCATCCATTTGATCATGTTTTTCCCTAGAGGAAGTCGAAAGCCCTATATTGAAAATACAATTCAAAATATCAAAATTCTTCCAAAATAATAACCAAAATAAACTAAGATAGGGTTGAAAAAAAATGAAAAAAAAAAAAACTAAGATTAGGATAAAATATGTAATATAATATTGACTCATAAGTCTCCTTAGCATATCTCTTGAGGAGAACAATGTTTTAGTTTTTAGAGTTGATGCAAAGACTCCATACAACATTCATTAAGAATAAATTAAGTGAATAAATAATATTTTTAACTACACCTCTATTAAATTATAATCCCATAAAGTTAAATTGGTTTGGTTCCAACTTTATAACTTTATAGAAGTTTTACTTAGATGGTTGCAACATAACAATATCGAATTGGTAATGAAAATGCTCGCATTTGTCAGTTTCTCTCGTTTTCAAGTTGAAGCAAATGTGTGTATTGAAAGATTTTGTCGTGAGATATAGATTTTGAAAGCAATCTAAATCCAACTATTCTGAGTTGGTTTGGTTTTGTTATGTTAATAGTCTTTGTTGCTCAAAGTTGAACCAACCCAGTTATATTTTACTTTTCATTTTTTCTTAATTAAAAAATATATTATAAAGCATAAAAAATGGATAAAATACAAATAACTAAAGGAAAATTTTATTTGAACCTGTATAATCTCTTTTTACACCCAACTTACTTTTTTCACCCATATTATTTTTAATTAAACTATTAATATCTTTTTAAACCCAATTTTATTACCTAAACTACCCTCATAAACCCAATTCAATATGTAAATTTATCTTTACACCCATACTACTAACTTGTTGAATTTGTCTTCTTTCTTGTGAATTTGTGATAACTTTTTCTCTTACAGAATAACCAAATCAATATGATTTTGATTTTGATTTATGCATTCCCTAATTTTGGTTTTTACTGAGTTTGATTTCGAGACTTAGGCCCCGTTTGGCAGATCGGATAAAGGATCGGATATGATTAGTTATACGGAGCCGGGTGTTTGGCGTCCCTTCGTACTAAATAAGCACCAGATTAATCTAACCAGTCTGCTTATTTAAGCAGGTATACGCCTGCTTAATAAAACCAACCAAAAGGCTCGGATTATTTAAGCAGGTCGTCGTCCTCCCCGTCACCTTCTCTCGCCATCGTCGTCCTCCCCGTCACCTCTCGCCATCGCCGTCCTTGCCGTCACCTCTCACCGTCACCTCTCGTCATCGCCGTCCTCGCCGTCACCTCTCGCCATCGCCGTCACCCCTCGCCGTCACCTCTTGCCCTCTCCTTGTTGTGGCCTTCCTCATCGCCTACTCGCCGTCCTCCCCTGCAACTGGGTCTTGCAAAGAAACATGGTGCGGCTGACAGATGATTTCAATTTGGGATTCTGCTGCAACTGGTTGTTTGAATTTATTTGGGATTCTTCTGCAGTCGGGGAAAAAGAAGAAGGGAGAAAGAGGGAGGGAGTTTAGGGGGTGCAATGGAGAGATATGGGGAACAATTATTTGGGATTATGCAGTCGGGGAAGAAGAAGAAGGGAGAGAAAGGGAGGGAGTTTGGGGGTGCGGAGACATCTGGGAACAAAAAGCTGATTTCAGTTTTTTTTTTTTTTTTTTTTGTTTAATTTTATTTTAAGTTTGATTCCTCTTATTCGGTATAATACCAAACACAGTATAAATAATACGGTCATTAGTCCGATACTGCACCAAACGCTCGACTAATTTAGTCAGTACTATCCGATGACTATTTATCCTATCCGACAGAAATAGTCAGTACAGTCCGAGCTACCAAACGAGGCCTTAAAGGTCAGAGGCTACTTGCAGTTTTTCTTTAATCTTGTTATAATTTTCATTTGTTAGAAAAAACATCAGTTGCAATTTTGTTTGACAGGTTTATATATACAAGTTTAGTTATGGGATTGATGTCTGCCCTAGCACCCTTTGCGGTCATATTGTTGCCAATTCCATCAACAATTTTACTCTCTTCATTGTGTCCTTTTGGGTGATTACAACTTTTATATTAACATTCGGCTTCAAATCTTTGTTACAATGTTCAAAAAAAAATTGGCCGGTAATTTTCACACTCGATTGAATCTCTTGCACTCCTCCCTTTGAGTGCAAAACACTTAAAGATGATTGTCAAAATTGCTATTCAAAAGTTTATGTTTTTTTTTCCTTTTAACTTTTTACCACCTTTTAGCAATAACCTATAATTTTTCTATAGGTGCCTATGCTCTTTGCCATTTGAATTTAGTTTTATGAATATTTACATAAATATCATTAATCTGGTTTGTGCTTGACCAATTTTAACTAGTACATAATCTACATCTTCTGTCTCCTTTGCCTTGACGTTGGAGTGATTGCCTGAGTTTTCTATAGGATGGATTGGGAAGTCGTATGCCTTCATGGACTTGTGATTTTTATGTGCCCAACATTCAGTCACAAATCTTATTTCTTCTTCACTTTCTAAGTTTCGTAGAAGAAAGATTAGATGGGTGATAGTAAGAATTTGATTATTAGATGTGGGTTTATTGATAAAATTTAGTTTTATTGTTAATTACATCTTGTACTTTATAGTAATTATGTAATATATAAAAAAGGACACTTCATAAATAAAATTAAGTTGGGTGTAGAAATAATTTATATGAGTTCAAATAAAATTTCTCATAACTAAAATACAAGTGCGAAAATCATTACTCTTATTTATATTAAATTATAATATTCGACAATGCACGCTCGGAGATTCTTTACATGGTAATGAAAATTTGAGACAAATAAATGAAATGAAAATAATATGAATGGTCTTATCTTCAAGATACATATAAATCAACCAAAAAATATAAATGAGAAAATAAGTAGAGAATATTCCTAGTTTCTATTTTTATGTTCACTCATGCTTATTGATGGGTGTTGTCTGTAAATTTGTTTCCAGTACCAGGGCTTGGACCTGAGTCCTTAATTCCACTAAGAGTCTCAACATTTGTGAATTTGTTTCCCGTACCAGGGCTTGGACCCGCTTCCTTAATTCCACCAAGAGTCTCAACATTTGTGAATTTGTTTCCTGTACCAGGAGTTGGACCGGAATCCTTAATCCCTCTGAGAGTCTCAACATTTGTGAATTTGTGAATTTGTTTCCTGTACCAGGAGTTGGACCGGAATCCTTAATCCCTCCGAGAGTCTCAACATTTGTGAATTTGTTTCCAGACCCAGGGCTTGGGCCGGAGTCCTTAATCCCTCCTAGAATCTCAACATTTGTAAATGCATTTCCTGAACCAGGACTTGGACCCGAGGTTTTAATCCCTCCGAGAGTTTGTTTGTTCGTAAGCTTGTGCCCCTCACCGGGGCTAGGTCCCGATTGCTTGATGGCTCCAAGTGATAACCCATCAAAGAAACCTCCTCCAGTTGCTCCAAAACCAGAGCTTCTGTACTTCATGATATTCAAGGGCCGAGCACTTACTGCAATGAATGTAGAGTTGAGCAAAAGCAGCAGCAAAACGAAACTGAAGAACTTGGTAGTCATGTTGGAACTGGAGAGAGAGATAGTGAGAGAGAGAGAGAGAGGCTCTGCAATTGTTGGTATGGAGTATATGATGGTATTTCCTATTTATAGTAAGTAAAACGTTTGCTGCTTGGCAAGCACGTTAGACTGATGATGAGGCTTCTTTGACTGAGATTCTTGGCATGCAAATAATATCAAATAAATTTCAAACAAACGTGACATTTCCAATCCTCATAGTCATGTGTTGGAATTAAGAAGCAACAAGGATGGTTCTTAATCTAAGTCAAATGGAGAAATTTTTTTATATAAAGTTGAATATTGTGAGTCCAAGTTAGAATTAGGTGTAGAAAAATGATAATATATGGTGGAGTTAGTTAACGGTTTTGATCGTGTGTATACCCGGAGCACTGCCACATAACATTATTAGTTTATCAATTCTCATAAAAAAGGAAACACACGTATTATAATTTGAATAAAGCAATAAAAGATTCGTTTGGAATTATTTTTAAAATAGCCAAAAGTGGTTTTTGTGAAAATGTTTTTGAAACCAATATTTGTAAAAATACCAGTGAATCTTAGAAAAACACTTCAGTGCTTTTAGAACCCAGAAACATTTTCTATAAGCACTTTAAATGTTTTTGGAACACATAAACATTTTTGAATTAATAAATTAAATCCGGCAATATATTTATTTAAAGATTATTTCATAAAAAGATTGAAAATAAAATTTGAGTCCACAAAATAAGATGAAGTTAAATATTATTCTTAAAGTGAAATATAAAATTTTAATGAGGTTTTTAATGAAGCTTCTCTTGCTCCCTCAAAACTCTTGTACTTTGTTTGTTTACAATAATGAAATCTCAGTTATAATAAGAAAAAACAGTAAAAAATAAAATCTGAAGAGTTAGTTAAAACGGTAAATGTTTAAAGTAACATAAAAGTTTCAAATGAATTAGCAAATGACATTTTTTTTTTAAATTTACTGACGTTTTTGGAAATCCTCGTAAGATGGAAGTGGTTTGGATTGATAGCCGTAGACAATAAAAAAAATTACGTCCTCGTAATTAATGAGAAAAAAAAAGTTTAATCACATGATGTCAACCAACATAGAAAACTATGATTATACTAAATCTAACTATAATTTTTTTTTTTATAAAAAGACTGTTAACGATCAAAATTAGTGAGGTTAACAAAGACTAGAATGGTTGTGTGTCGGTCTTTGATGGGCTTGGGGTTTAGAATAACAAGAACTGAACAACAATATTTTAAGTGGTTCACCTCTAAAAAAAGGGCTACGTCCACTGAGTCTCCCTTGTATGTTGGATAAGTGGTTACAATTGCAGTCAGCTTAATACAATCACCTTTTGCTCTCAATTTAGGAGAGTCTCACCTTTAAGAATCTTCTTAGCATTTCCCTTAAGGAGAACAATGTTTTAGTTTTTAGAGTTGATGCAAAGACTCCTCTGCGGGAAGTACAACATTCATTAAGGATAAATACGTGAATAAATAATATTTATTTTTAACTACACCTCTATTAATTAATAATCTCCTAAAGTTATAAAATTGGTTTGGTTCCAACTTTATGACTTTATAGAAGTTTTATTTAGGCGCTTGCAACGTAACAATATAGAATTGGTAAAAAAAATGCTCACATTTGTCAGTGTCTATCGTTTTCAAGTTGAAGAAAATGTGTGTGTTGAAAGATTTTGTCATGAGATATAGAATTTGAGAGCAACCTAAATCGAACTATTCTGTGTTGGTTTGGTTTTGTTATGTTCATAGTCTTTCTTGCTCAAAATTGAACCACCCCAGTTATATTTTACGGTTCATTTTTTCGTTGCGAGAAGAAGCAAAAAGAAGCTGTGCTTATATAATTAAGTTTTTAAAAAATATTTTAAAGCATAAAAAATGGATAAAATACAAATAACTAAAATACAAGTGCGAAATCATTACTCTTATTTGTATTAAATTACAAATTTGACAATGCACACTTAGAGATTCTTTACATGGTAATGAAAATTTGAGACAAATAAATGAAATGAAAATAGTATGAATGGTTTTGTCTTCAAGATACATATAAATCAACCAAAAAAATATAAATGAGAAAATAAGTAAAGAATGTTTCTAGTTTCTATTTTTATGATCATTCATGTTTATTGATGGATGTTGTCTGTAAATTTGTTTCCAGTACCAGGGCTTGGACCCGAGTCCTTAATTCCACCAAGAGTCTCAACATTTGTGGATTTATTTCCCGTACCAAGGCTTGGGCCAGAGTCCTTAATCGCTCCGAGAGTCTCAACATTTGTGAATTTGTTTCCCGTACCAGGGCTTGGACCCGCTTCCTTAATTCCACCAAGAGTCTCAACATTTGTGAATTTGTTTCCTGTACTAGGAGTTGGACCGGAATCCTTAATCCCTCCGAGAGTCTCAACATTTGTGAATTTGTTTCCAGACCCAGGGCTTGGGGCCGGAGTCCTTAATCCCTCCTAGAATCTCAACATTTGTAAATGCATTTCCTGAACCAGGACTTGGACCCGAGGTTTTAATCCCTCCGAGAGTTTGTTTGTTCGTAAGCTTGTGCCCCTCACCGGGGCTAGGTCCCGATTGCTTGATGGCTCCAAGTGATAACCCATCAAAGAAACCTCCTCCAGTTGCTCCAAAACCAGAGCTTCTGTACTTCATGATATTCAAGGGCCGAGCACTTACTGCAATGAATGTAGAGTTGAGCAAAAGCAGCAGCAAAACGAAACTGAAGAACTTGGTAGTCATGTTGGAACTAGATAGAGAGAGAGAGAGAGAGAGAGAGGCTTTGCAATTGTAGGTATGTTGTGATATACGTACTGGAGTATTGGTGATGTTTCCTATTTATAATAAGTAAAACGTTTGCTGCTTGGCAAGCACATTAGACTGTGAGATGATGAGGCTTCTTTGACTGAGATTCTTGGCATGCAAATATAATCACATAAATTTCAAACAAACGGACATTTCCAACCCTCATAGTCGTGTGTTTGGAATTAAGAAGCAACAAGGATGGTTCCTAATCTTAAGTCAGATGAAGAAAAAAGAATTTATAAAGTTGAATATTGTGAGTCCAAGTTAGAATTAGGTGCGGAAAAATGATAGTATATGATGGAGTTAGTTAACGGTTTTGATTATGTGTATACTGGAGCACTGCCACATAATATTATTAGTTTATCAATTCTCATATAAAAAAGAAACACGCGTATTATAATTTGAATAAAGCATTAACAGACTCGTTTGGAATTATTTTTAAAATAGCTAAAAACGGTTTTTGTGAAATGTTTTTGAAACCAATATTTATAAAAATGCCAGTGAATTTTGGAAAAACACATGAAGTGTTTTCTACAATAAGCACATAATTGGAGCTTCTTGTAGGAAGCACTTAAGTGCTTTTAGAACCCAGAAACATTTTTTGTGAGCACTTTAAATGCTTTTGGAACACATAAATATTTTCTCCAAAACGCTTTCAATCGTTTTAAAAACACGTTTAATCATTTTAAAAACACTTTCAAACGAGTTCAAAATCATGTCGTTTTCCGAGTCCACCAAAAAATTAGACGAATCTTATTTGGGTCCAGTCGGCCGCCCAAAAGCCACCAGAATTGCTTGCAGCTCGGGGAGTCAAAGACCGTGCGTTGTTTGAATTCTTTTTTAGGGAAAATACGTTGTTTGAATTCCACGGCTGCAGAGTGTAACATGACTTAAATGGATTATTAGGTAGAGAAAAAAATTGATTTATTGGGATTTTCATGGCCAGTCAATTTCACTAGTTGTAGTATATCAATTGGCACCATGGTACACTAGCTACATTTTAAATTTAATTTTATCAAAATAAGCAAGATGGTAGCTGCGTGATACGATATATATGTACATATTCAAATACATATAGTGATACACGTACATTGATTTAGACACCATTTAATTCTTATTTTACAATTGGAAATTTTAAGAGAACTTTGTTTTTCAACGACCATGCGTACATATACTGAAAAAGAGAAATTTTGGCTTTGAAATTTATTATAATTGTTCTAATCAATTTACTTATGGATTGGATCCGTTTGGTATCCTACTAAAAAAATTTTATCGTTTTCAAAAATATTTTTTAAAATCATTTCTTAAGATTTGTTTTTCATAAGACTCAAAAACTTGTTTGGTATGAAGGTCAAAATTGTTTTTCAACCTTCTGGTTTATAAAATATAAAATATTTTTATATTCGAAACCTTCTGGTTTAACTTAAGTAACGAGAAAAAAAAAGGTTGTTAAAATACAAGCGACATTTCTAATTTAAGAAGGGGATACTTGTTTCCTTAAGCATTGTAGAAAGGGAATAGACGAAATTAGGTAGTTAACGACAATAACTCATGCAAGACATCCTATCACTACCAGTATAATAAGCTTTATCTTTATATAGCCCACCCATGCGGACCCATTTTAGTATTTCAAATTGAAAGCTCAATCCATGGCAGCCCAGTCCGGCCCACCGAATAATGTGGCCGAAATAGATGGACCACAATGAATGATGCATTCAAATATAAAAGAGAATTGTCACTTAGTACTACGATCTAATGATTTTTTTTAATTGTAAATGAGAGATCTTAGGTTTGATTTCACCAAAGGTAAATTTGAACCACATTCTTACTAGTCAATTGTGAGATTAAGCCTACTACCTTCCTCTTAGTATAGATAATATCGTTTGCTCAGAAAAAAAACATACAAAAAGAGAATAGAGACAAGCCGACATAAGTAATGCTCCACCCTTCCAAAGAAAGATTTCTCAATTAATTAGTTGACAGACATTACATCTCTTCATTGCCTAATCAATCAATATTCCTCACTGCCTTTCTTTATTTAAAATATTATTAATGAGGGAGATTCAAAACTATTACATAATTTAGAAGATGTTAGAGTTTTGAATCGGAACGCATGGATAGAAACCCAACATTCTATCCACTAGGATATTAGACCACATGCATTCCTCATTGCCCTGACCATTATATTCTTGTAGTTCTAGTTAGACATTTTTTTTTCACTTTATCAATTTTCCCA